AGGTTGAGGCAGGAGACTGGCATGAACCTGGGAGGCAGAGCTTACAGTGAGCTGAGATCACATCACTGCACTCCAGCCTGGGTGACAGAGTGAGACTCCATCTCAAAAAAGATAACTAAATAAAAATAAAATAAAATAAAATAAAATAAAATAAAATAACTTAGCTCTTTCCAGCAATTGCCAATCATAAAATTGTTGAATCCATCTGTGAGCTGGAAGCCCCTGCTCTGAGTTTCTCACCTTTCTGGACCAAACCAATATACACCTCACATGTATTGATTGATGTCTGCCTATAACTTCTGTCCCCCTAAAATATATAAAATCAAGCTGTAACCCAGCCACATTGGGCACATGTTCTCAGGACCTCTTGAGACTGTGTCTCGGGCCTTGGTCACTCACATTTGGCTCAAAATAAACCTCTTTAACTATTTTACGGAGTTTGACTCTTTTCATCAACACCATCATCTTTGGAAAAGTGCCATCTGTCATAGTCCACACTCTGGTAATAGCAGCTCACATTCCTCCCACATACAAAAGATGCAGCCAACGATGTGACTCTAAATACTTTTATAAGACCTCAGAAAGATTTCAGATGGTACCTCATGAACACTTTCAGACAGAAGTCGGCCTTTCAAGGATCTTAAGACACCACTTGTGCCTTTGGCCCACAGGTCTTCCAGGTTTCGAGAAACCATCCTAAAGGGGCTGTACCTGAGAAACTTCATCAGCACTGGCACCTGATTTGATAGCAAAATCTTGAACTTTGAGCTGATGCAGTAATAGGATGAGACTCTGGAGACCTTGAGGAAAGGGAGAGTGCATTTCGTATGTGGGAGGGATGCAAGCTGCTATTGAGACTGAATTTAGTCTTAGACTGTGCCCCTAATTCAGCCATTGCACTGAGGACCTTTCTTTGAGAATGCTTTGCTAACTGGAAAGACTGATTTGAGCCCTCCATACTTCCTCTAAAGTGTGCTGGAAAACTGAACAGTTCCTCTTTCTCCAGCCATATTTCATCATAAGTAGAAACCAACTGACACTTTAAATTGTCTGCCAGGAAATATCCTTGGCCAAACCCACTGGTTCATTAGGTATATTTTCTATTTTCAGTGTTATTGTAGGTGACAATGTTGCTAAACCTTTTGTTACACTTAGCAAGGTCACTTTTCTTCCACCCTCCAGTCATAACTTCCTCCCCATCTTTCCAGCCTTCACTGACAGTCTTCTCAAGGTCAGCCCAGCTTTCAGCAACAAACTTCTCAAGGCCACTTAAGCCTGGAAGACTGAATATACATACAGACAATGACCAGACAATATATAAAAACAGGACTCTGACCCACAATCTGCAGCAACCAACCTAGAAAACCAGCCCATGATTTAGAGAAACCAGCCCAAGAAGCAAGCCTACTAGAAATCAGACTGCTATCTCTAGCAACAATCCAGGAAACCAAACAATAGCCTCTGGAACAACTGGTGCCAAATGACCAAGACTTGATTAATAACTGACAGCTTCCCTAATTTTTTTATTTTTGTCTCCACTTCCAAATTAGGGCCAACCAGGGAAAGCCAAATGTGCAGCCTAACCAGTCAAAGAGGATGCTCCACTTCTAGTTAGCCTGCCTAAAGCTTCCCAATGCCAGCAGCCTCCAATAGGGCATACCCAAAGCCTTCCCTTTTTTCTACTAAAAGCTTTTCCACTCCTCTCCCTGCCTTTGAGTGTCTTCCAAAATGCAAGTAATGGCAGCTGGCTCCCTTGCTACAGCAAGCTCTAAATAAATAGCCTTTGGTTGTTCTCATGTGGTTGATCTTCCTTTATTTCCACAAGCTTCTTTCTGCTGCCTAGTCAAAAGCTGATTGCTTTCACTTATGTTTTGGGTTTTTGTTATGGGAGAATCCCACTTTCAGCTACCAAATTCTGTTCTGATTATCTATTACTCCACAACAAACCACCCCTAAAACTTAGTGGCATAGACAATAGTTATCTTATTGTGCTCACAGATTCTGTGGGTCAGGAATTCAGACACAGTAGAACAAGGATGGTCTATTTTTGCTCCACAATATCTAGGTGTCAGTTGGGAAAACTGGAATGACGAGGGGCAGGAATCACCTGGTGGCTGCCCCACTCACATGTCTGTTGCCTGGGCTGGGGTGGCTTGAAGACTGGGTTCAGCTGGGGCTGGCAACCAGAAAACCTGCCATGTGGCTTTTCCATGTGACTTGGCTCTTTACAGCATGGTGGCTAGGCCCTGTGAGGGAGTGTCCTGAGAGGCACAGCCAGGCTGTGAATGTTCTAAGAGAGAAAGGTGGAAGCTGATTGACTTTTCTGATTAGCTTTAGAAGTGACATTTGTTGGTTCAAGTGAGTCACTTAGACTAATATATATTCAAAAAGAGGGAATTAGATTCTGCCTTTTTTTTCTTTTTTAATTAATTTATTTTTGAGACAGAGTCTCACTCCATCACCCAGGCTGGAATGCAGTGGTACAATCTCAGCTCACTGCAATCTCCGCTTCCCGGGTTCAAGCGATTCTTGTGCCTCAGCCTCTTGAGTAACTGGGCTTACAGGCATGTGCCACCACACCCAGCTAATTTTTGCATTTTTGGTAGAGATGGGGTTTCACCCAGGCTGGAGTGCAGTGGTACAATCTCAGCTCACTGCAATCTCCGCTTCCCGGGTTCAAGCGATTCTTGTGCCTCAGCCTCTTGAGTAGCTGGGCTTACAGGCATGTGCCACCACATCCAGCTAATTTTTGCATTTTTGGTAGAGATGGGGTTTCACCATGTTGGCCAGGCTGGTCCCGAACTCCTGACCTCAAGTGATCCGCCTGCTTCAGCCTCCCAAAGTGCTGGAATTACAGGCATGAGCACCAGGCACTGCCAGATTCTGTCTCTTGATGTGAGAGTGATAAAGTCCCTCTGCAGAACATGTGGAATGGAAGAGACTGTTGCAGTCATTTTGGTAACTATGATTTGCCACTCCAGGCCACCCTCTTCTTGAAATCCATCTATTCATTTATTCATACATTACTTATATTTACCCTGCTTTCTTTCAAAAATAACTTGAGAGCTGAGTACAGTGATGCAAATATGTAGTCCCAGCTATGCAGGAGGCTAAGGCAGGAGGATTGCTTGAGCCCAGGAGTTCAAGACCAGCCTGGGCAATATAGTGTAGAGATGGGATCTTGCCATATTGACCAGGCTGGTCTGGGACTCCTGGGCTACAAAAGTTTTTCAAAACATTAGTGGTCCATGGTGATATGTGCCTGTAGTTCTAGCTACTTAGGAGGCTGAGGCGGGAGGATCACTGGAGCCCAGGAATTGGAGGTTACATTGAGTTATGATTGAGCCACTGCACTCCAGCCTGGGTGACAGACTGAAAGACCCTGTCTCCAAAAAAAAGAAGAAGAATTTGGGGAAACTTCATTGTAGTTAGAAGATGGATTGGTGGGCACGGAAGCAAAACAAAGGAAGTTGGTTGCTCTCAGGTGATAATTTCATACAGGTATTCATTTATTCATTCCATAGGTATTTTTTAAGCATTAACAATAGGCTCATGCTGTGGTCAGCACAGATGTGAGGGGAGCAAAATTAATACAGATCCTGTTATCATGAAACTTAAGTCCAGTTGGTGAGGCAAACACTCTAAAATAATCACACAAATATGTAACTATGAGTGCTGCATAGCTCACAAATGTTATGCAGTCATGGTCTAGGAATGTGCAGCACAGGAGCTTGGTCTAGTCCAAGCAGTTAGAGAAGACTTCCCTAAAACAAAGCAATATTTAAGCTAATAAATAACTCAACAATGAGTAAAAGGTAATTAAACTAGGATGTTGCAAAGTATGTTACGGAAACTACTAGTGGTACACAGATATATTATTATTGTCATTATTCTGTATTTTGTAGTTTTGCGTGATTTGTGACCAGTGAAATTGGCTCTCCATTTACATTGGCATATAAAATTTCCTTGTAAAATAAATGTATTTAAATTTTAAAAGCTGTAAATATAAAGAAAGATCGTAAGAAAAATAATAGAGTAGGCATTACACAGAAAGGGCAAACATGAAGGTGTTAGGTGTAAACCTGAAGCTTAGTAAATACTGGACTAGGTGTGCTGGAGGGTGGGTTGAGGAGCGGAGTCGTGGGCAAAAGCCTGAAGTGGAAGAAAGACTCAGGGGTCCAACAAGCAGAAAGGAACCAATATGGCTGGAGCAGAAAGAAAGAGGAAGTCACTCACTGTGAGCCAGGAGAGGCCAGCAGGACCTCGATATTCAGGGACTTTCGTTCAGAACTGAAACAAAATGAGCAGCTGTACTTTTTTCCCTTAAATATTGTACTTGTGGAAGTTTACTACAAAATCACTGAACTTCACTGGGTGTTTGAATAGTGATTGATTTATATTTTTGAGACACAGTCTTGCTCTGTTGCCCAGGTTGGAGTGCAATAGTGCAATCACAGCTCACTGCAACCTCAACCTCCTGAGCGCAAGCCATCCTCCCACCTCAGTCTCCCAAGTAGCAGGGACCACAGGCATCTGCCACCACGTCCAGCTAATTTAAAAAAAAATTTTGTAGAGATGGGTTCTTGCCATGTTGACCAGGCCTATTCTGGAACTCCTGGGCTCAAGTGATCCACCCACCCTGGCCTCCCAAAGTGCTAGGATTACAGGCAAGAGCCACCGCACCCAGCCTGAATAGTAAATTTTTAATAGAACAAACTTAGTCTATATAGATAACAACAATATTAACTTGCAGTGTCTAAGAGCTAGTATTCCCACAGAAAATAGTGTTGTTCAATCTGTTTTAATTATTCTAAAAGCAATGGGACACCATTGAAGAATTTGGGAAAGGGGAGTGATAAAACCTAGTTTGTGAGTTTTTAAAAAGTGATTTCTATCAATGTATCCATGCATTTAAAAAACTGTACAGGAATGCTAATAATAATAAGATGCAACATTCTGCTCTCCAACCTCTTTCCCACCTCCAGAGACAACCACCTTACCTTTTTTCTGTTTGTATTCTCCTGGTGGTTTCCTCCTTCTCTCCAGAAAAAAATATGCTTTCTTGCTTTTTCACATTTAGACACTGCAGTGCATACATCACAGGTGCTTGCTTAGCTATCATAGGCTCAGCAGTCTCCCAGCCACTCAGCCTGCCCTGACCAGGCCATCCCAGTGGTGACTGACCGAATGTGTGCATGTGGTTCCACCGCAGCAGCCATCAGGCCACGTGCCCAGATCTGGCTTCCCCAGTGGCTACCAAAGGGGCCAGGTGACACAACCTGGATGTGTGTGGGCATTAACTGCTCCAGCCAGCACATTTTGATGAGCAGAAGATAGAAGGCAAAGTGAGCTTGCAGATGCATTTTCTCTCCCTCCTGCCTTTGAGGGACTGTCCCAGGCACAGTATTTCCATAAAGCCTGCCCAAAGAGGTCCTTTGTGACTGAGCAGCCAGCCACCTGCTGAGAAACCAGCTCTGTTTATTCATGGCTCTTCATGAAGCAATGACCAGTGCAGTCATTCATCACCTTGTACTTGCTGCCATTCCTTCCCTGCCTCTCTTCCTTTTCCCCTGGCTCTCGCAGAGCTGGGTCTGTACCTCCGGAAAAAGTGTAAGCACTTAAGCTTTGCCTCGGGCTCTGTGTTCTAGGGAAATCAGACAAAGACAGACATTGCCAATATTATTGATGAACTCAGTTATGATTTATATCACCACTTCCATCTCTCTCCCATGTTAACTCATTGTTTCTAGTTCTATCAGTTATGCTTACAAGCATAAGTTATGACTTTCAATTTTGTGCTTATAACTTTACTTCATTTTCCAATCATCAGAGCCAGTCTCTTGTTTCTGATACTTTGCAAGATGAAGACATTGGTGTCCTTTCCCTTCTTTTCACCTCTCCTTCCCTGATCACTTCCAAACCTCTGTCATCATACTGTCCCATCCTTAAGGTTGAAAGCATTTACATACTGTTCTATAATCCCTCTTCTGCTATTTTCCTAAGTGCTGATTTTAAATTTGAAAATCAATATGCAGTGTCAATCACTATGATGACTATCCATTGAACAGTGAATGTTTATTAAGAGTTTGCTATGTTTTAGGCACAGTTCTCTAGGCTCTAGGGATAGAACAGGGAAGAAAATGGACAGAAATCCTTGCCTTCACAGAGCTTTCATTTCAGTGAGGAGACAAAAAACAAGACAGATACGTAAACTATAGAGCATGCTCGGTAATGGAAAGTACTAAGAGGAGAATCAGGCAAGGAAGAATAAGAGTCGGTCAAAGGAGCTGAAATTTTAGGTAGGCTGGGCAGGGAAGACTGCTCTGAGAAAGTAACTTAAGGAAGTGAGGGATCGAGCCAAGCAGTTATCTGCTAGAACAGCATTCCAAGCAAAGAGAACAGCAAGTACAATGGTCCTAAGACAGGAGTGTGCTTATTGTATTCAAGCAACAGCAAGCAAGCTCATGTGGCTGAAGAAGATTGACCAAGGGGGAGAGTAGAGGGGAATAAAGACAGAGAAGTCATGGGGAGCAGATCACGGAGGGCCTTAGAAGCCAAAGCAAGGACTTTGGCTTTTACTATAGCAGAGGCAGATAGCCTTTGAAAGGGTTTGAGCAGTGGACAGACAGGATCTAACGTACATGCGAACAAAACCACTCTGGATATCATGATAAGAGGAGACTGAAGGGGGTGAGGAGGAAGCAGGAAAAGTAGTTGGGAGACTCGAAACAATCTAAGCAAAGGATGATGGTGGCCTGAAGTAGGGTGACAGTAGTGAAAGAGATGAGAAGAGGTCAGAATCTCAATCTATTTTGAAGGTAGAGCTAATATGATTGGTGAGTGATTGGATGTGGCAGAAAATGCAGTCAAGAATGACTCTAAAGTTTTACCTGAGCACCTGGAAGAACGGAGTTGTCACATAAGGAGATGGGGACGACTGTAGAGAGAACAGAGCGTAAAAGAAAAGATACAGGCTCTGCTGTAGCCAGTTTGAGTTGCTGTTTTTTGTTTTGTTTTGTTTTGTTTCGAGACAGAGTCTCGTTCTGTCACCTAGGTTGGAGTGCAATGGTGCGATCTCAGCTCACTGCAACCTCCACCTCTCGGGTTCAAGTGATTCTCCTGCCTCAGCCTCCTGAGTAGCTGGGATTAGAGGCACCTGCCACCGTGCCCAGCTAATTTTTGTATTTTTAGTAGACACGGGGTTTCACCATGCTGGCCAGGCTGGTCTTGAACTCCTGACCTCGTGATCTGCCCACGTTGGCCTCCCAAAATGCTGGCATTACAAGCATGAGCCACCGCGCCTGGCCTCGTTGCTGTTTTAATTATCTATATTGCATAACCAATCACCCCAAAAACTCAGCTGCTCAGAACAGCAATTTACTGTCATCACTCATAGTTTCTGTAGGTAAGGAATTTGGATAGGATTCAGCTGAGCAGTTCTTGCTCGAGGTCTCTCACTGAAACTGCCCCAGTTTTAGCTCTGAAAGCCCTGTGTCCTGGCAAATCTCTCCCAAGGATATGAAAAGTTCTGGTTGTCAGTGATGGGGGCAGAAGTTGGAGAGAAAATATAACACTATATTTTCTGTGACCCTAAAAACTAGAGACTGAAAGCCGTGCTATTTATAGTGTTAAATGGATACAGCATTGACTCTCTGCCTTTGGGAGTTACTATCACTGATTTTTCCTGACCACTGAGGTTGGCCACAGTGGTTTGTGGTTGACATAATGGATCACCCATTCTGGCATCACTTCAAGTAATATGAATTAAGTATGCAACTTGAGTTGCAATCGTGGGTGTTAACAGTCTGTTTGACTTCACCTATAGATTAACCGTTGTGCTTTTTTTTGGAGACAGGATCTTGCTCTGTCGCTCAGATTGGAGGGCAGTGGCCTTAACTTCGCAGGCTCAAGCGATCCTCCCACCTTAGCCTCCTGAGTAGCTGGGACCACAGGCACGTGTCACCACACCTAGCTTTTTTTTTTTTTTTGTAGAGACAGGGTCTCCCTGTGTTGCCTAGGCTGATCTCAAACTCCTGGGCTCAAGTGATTCTCCCACCCGGGCCTCCCAAAGAGCTGGAATTACAGGTGTGAGCCGTTGAACCCCACCAAATGTCTGAGGATTAGTGTGACCACTCTGGAGAACTAGGATAAGCCCCACCCGAAGTTCAGTTCAGATGTTAAGACTCCTAATGCTAAGTACACCTCAAGAGATAATGGAAAGGTTGATTACTTACATAATTGAGGTCTCTGGGGAAAGCAGAGCGGACCTTTCTGTAAGTCCAGAATGGCTTGAGAGAGCAGGGAACAGAGACTGGTTGAGTTTTATTGTGGTTAGGGGTGGGGGCGGGGTGAGGGCTGCCCCCTGTTGAGAGGAGCTTATGTAGTTTGAGTCTCTCCACAGCACAGAGAGAACACCCAGTCTTTCTTATCAGCTTGCCCAGATGTGGGGCAGACGGACAGACAGAGAGGTGGGGCTCAATGCTGTTGCTAGCCAAACGCCAGAGTGGAGCCAGACTCCTTATTCCAGAGAGTGCTAGTTTAATTTTTAACATGGTAAATATTGTGGCAATATTTTCTAAAAGTTCAGATTGTGAAAAAGAGAACAACTACAATATCACCAGCACGACCCAGATCTCGCTGAAAAGGAAGGCTAAATGACTGTGTTCTCTTAAGGACAGAAGGAAGGACACATACAACTGGATTAGGGAGGTAAGCCACCAAAATGGCACACACTGCACAATATGCAGAAAGCAGCTTTGGCCTGGGCATTGCAGAAAAGGTGATTGCGAAAACACACGTGGACGCTGGATTTCACAATTCTGGGATTAGACAAGGAAGAATTTCTAAATCAGAAGAGTTTTTTTGTTTTTGTTTTTGTTTTTGTCTCCCAAAGACACCTATGCTCAGTTAAAAACAGTGACCACTGAATTGGTAGGGGCATACCACATGAACAAACACACAGTATTTTATCATTCTCTTGATGGCACTATGGAAATGAGTGAAGTTACATTTCCTGATTCACAAGCTGAAGCTATAATGTCCTGTGGGCAAACAAAAGGGGGAAATTTGAGAACTGACATGTTGGGCCCTGTAATAGGTTGCTAGGGCTGCCAAAACCAAGTACCACAAAACAGGTGGCTTGACACAACAAATTTACCCTCTCATAGTTCTGGAGGCGGAAAGTCTGCAATCAAGGTGTCAGCAGGACTGTGCTCCCTCTGAGGTTCTAGGGAGGAACCTGTTGCACGCCTCCATCCTAGCTTCGGGTGATCCTGGCAGTCCTTGGCATGCCTTCGCCTGAAGCTACAGCACTCCAATTTCTCCTTCCAGCCTCACTTGGAATCACACATCTTCCGTGTGTGTGTGTGTGTGTGTGTGTGTGTGTGTCTGTCTGTCTGAATTTCCCTCTTCTTTAAGGACAGCAGTTATATTGGATTTATGGCCCACCCTAATCTAGTATGACTTCATCTTAACTTGATTACTTCTACAAAGACCCTTATTTCCAAATAAGGTCACATTCACAGGTTGCAGGTGGACATGAATTTTAATGTTGGGGGTGATACTGTTCAACACAGTACCGCCCTTTGGAACTCTTCTCATCAGATTGTACCTATGATCATGCCTCCTATAATATATCAAGAAATGAATCGAATTATAGCAACAACAAAATGTTCTCCTGCTCTTACTTTAATTTGAAAAATGGAGTTTCAAACAATTGTCTTATTTCTATGAAGATTTTAGTGAAACTACAGAAAGCACAAAACAAAAAATTGTTGATATTTTGTTAAAAAAAAAACTAGACTTTCCTCATCTATCTGCATATTCAGCAGAAAGTGCTGCTAGGAAAATCCTGGGAAATTTTATTGTTTATAAACTTCTATAATATGGACTTGATTATGGCAGAGCTGCAAGTCAAAATGAATTTACATTTGACTGTATTCACTTTTACCACTGCATAAAAGGAAGGAAGGATGTCATAAAAGCTGCAGGCAGTTCAGAGAAATATTATTGAAAAAGGCGGCTGGGCATGGTGTCTCACGCCTGTAATCCCAGCACTTTGGAAGGCCAAGGCAGGTGGATCACCTGAGGTCAGGAGTTCGAGACCAGCCTGACTAACATGGTGAAATCCCGTCTCTACTAAAAATACAAAATTGGCCAGGCGTGGTGGTGCGTGCCTGTAATCCCAGCTACTCAGGAGGCTGAAGCAGGAGAATTGCCTGAACGATCATGCCATTGCACTCCAGCCTGGGCAACAAGAGAGAAACTCCATCTCAAAAACTAAATAAATAAAATAAACAAGGAAAAGGCAACCAAAGGTTTAAAAAAACCTACCACATCACAGGGCAGAAGGAAACATGTCATTGCAATTTTTTATTAAATATAGGTAATATTTGGTTAATAATACTATTTATGTTCTTCTTTTAAAATATCTTATGTATATTTTCTTAAGAATATATAATAATAGAACCTGCAAAATTTAAATACCTAATATAGAGTTAAAAAAAGATAAAACAAATTGCTATATCAAAGGACAAGAAGAAAGTTATTAAAATATTGTCATATTTCACTCACACATATTATGTGTTTAGTTAGTCCTATTGTTAATTACTTCTAATTGCATTATTTATTAGTCCCATTGTTTATTTACAAATTTTTAAGTAATTTAAATAGTTAATTTAAATTTATGTTTGTGTGCATATGAGATCTCTGATAGTCTACTTTTGAGAATAATTTAGTAAAGCTTTTAAATAAAAATCAGAAGTAACTCCATTAATTGCATCATATGTCATAATTACATTTTTCTGTTTATTTAATGAAATAAAACTTTATAGCTGACTAAAAAAAATTCTTTTTTTTTAGACAGAATCTTGCTCTGTCACCCAGGCTGGAGTGCAGTGGCATGATCTCATCTCACTGCAACCTCTGCCTCCCAGGTTCAAGCTACTCTCATGCCTCAGACTCCTGAGTATCTGGGACTACAGGCATGCGCCACCACATCCAGCTAATTTTTTGTATGTTTAGTAGAGATGGGGTTTCATCATGTTGGCCAGGCTGGTCTTGAATTCCTGAGCTCAAGTGATCCACCTGCCTCGGCCTCCCAAAATTCTGGGATTACAGGCGTGAGCCACTTCACCCGGCCACTAGCAACCTTTTTTGAATAGGAAGTAGATAATATTTAACACTTTATGAGAGTTGATTGTAAGTGAAATATTTCATGATATAATTTAATAAAATAGGTACTAACTATATTATTTAATATGGTGCACCCAATCTGAAAGAAATCACATAAAAGTTTTATCTATAGCTTTTATTTAATATATCGTTTTAAAACTAGTAGTCTCAGAAATCATTCCAGTTACAGTGGAAGAATTGTTGTTATTAACTTACACTGATTTGATATTCAAAAAGCTTTTTCTTCCTAGCTAATAACATAGACCTAAGGATGAGAATAGTGAAAAAGGTTTTCTAATGGTTAAATACATTTAAAAAGTCTTTTTTTTTTTGGCCAGGTGTAGTGGCTCATGCCTATAATCCTAGCACTTTGGGAGACCAACGAGGGAGGATCTCTTGAGCCTAAGAGTTCGAGACCAGACTGGGCAAAATAGTAAGACCTGGTCTCAATTTTTTTTTAACTGACTCTAAAAAAATAATTTTTTTTAATAGTCAATAATTTACCAATCAATATCCTCACCAATATTTCTCACTAATCATCTCTTTGTTCTCCTGGACTCTCACCTAAGAATGATGTACTCTTGATAAAAAAAGTCTGGGTCTTTCAATGAAAATTCTCAATGATCTACCACCCTACTCTACAATGTATAGGAACTGAAAACGCTTCAATGTAGGTCAAATGCTGACTTTCCTTGAATGGAAATATACACAGAGAAATGTTAAATGTTTCTGTGTCTTGATCAGAGGTGATGGAACTGCCCTGTGGCTTATCCCCGGAGGTATTGACCCCTGAGATTGGAGGAGGTGAGAGACTGCCTTTGTTTTGTACAGTGAGAGAAGAAATTTTGTGATGTGAATTTTAGGAAACTCCATGTAGATGCTGAGGATCTGGTAGCTAATTCCCTTCAACTCTTTTCTCCTTGGAAAGCCATCACAGTTTGAAAACCACTGGTACAGGAGAGAGGGAGAGCAGACAGACTGAGCACATGTGATATGAGGGAGGGCTGCACTGAGGGCCTCCTGAGATTAACCAGGAAGAATCTGAAGTGAAACTGGTCATGTGTTTCCATCAGCCGCAGTCTGCTGCGCTGATACAGGCATGAAGGAGTTAGAGATCTGGATTTAACCAGGGTTGTAGATTTAACCAAGCAAGTAGTTTTGAGAATTTAAAGATGTGATACAGGCCAACAATGAACAATAGGGAAGGAAAAAAAAAAAAAGACCATACAAGAAAGGAAACGTAATCACAGTACACAACTAGATTGTGCAGCAACACATGTTTGTATAGACTTTAGCTCCTGACTCATCATACTCTCTCAGATCAGCCTGTCATGTTCCTGATAAGTCCATTACCCATGCAGAAGCATAAAGGATTTACAGGTATATGCCAGGGAGTGATTAAAATGATTGTGTCCAGATGTGGTGGCTCACACCTGTAATCCCAGTACTTTGGGAGGCCAAAGCAGGCAGATTGCTTGAGCCTAAGCATTTAAGTCCAGCCAGGGCAACATAATAAGACCCCATCTCAAAAAAAAAAAAAAAAGAAAAAAGAAAAAAAAGCCAGATGTGGTGGCATGCATCTGTAGTCCCCACTACTTAGGTGGCTGAGGTGGGAGAATCACCTGAGCCCTGGAGTTTAAGGCTGCATGAGCTGTGATGGCAGCACTGCACTTGAGCGTGGGTGACAGAGTGAGACCTTGTCTCAAAAAAAAAATGTTTTTTAAATGATTGAACATGGCACTTTAGCTAGGTAGGAAAGGCTGTGAGGACCCTAGGGAAGGGAAGAAGGTTCAGTGAAAAGGTGATAGCATCAGTGAATTAAAAGTTTAGTGGGAAGGAAACGTTATTAGAGGTGGAGTCCCATAGGAAGTAAGCCGAGAAAGTAGTGTTCAGTGAACAGGGCGATTAAAACGGAGATTCAGGAGGATTTTCTGTGTTGATAATAAAATCTAGGGCACTGCTAATAGAAGTATAAAGTGAGTAACATATGTAATTTAAAATATTCTACCAGCCACATGTAAAAAGTAAAATGAAACAAGTGAATTTCTTTTGATAACATTTCACTTAACAAATACATGTGAAGTATTATCATAATATGTAATCAATATAAAAAATATTCATTCGATATTTCATATT